TTTACATATAGACGTTCAGGCGTGTGCATTTTCCAAAAGTAACGTTTCAGATAGTCTGAGCAGTTTGTATGGTGCCAAAGCTGTTGGGGGGGGGGGAAGGGGGGGGAGAGGATACGCAGTGGGCAAGACTAGACCGCACCTATTCTTTGCTCGTTTGTGCCTTTGCCGGAGTTTGCCGAACTCGCCGAACACTGTCTTTCCAAGGAAGCAGACTAGCAGAAAATGAGTGAGCTTAATGTTTCTGCCGACTGGCCCCTCCTAGCTACCGCAGCATCGTCAATAATCTCTTGACTCTCGTGTTATTTATTGTGCTCAGTTTCAGACAGCTCCTATGCTTGTTTATAATCTCTTCAATATCGCCACACATCCAGATGTTCAATCCGAGCTTCGTGAAGAAGTAAATGCTGCTGTTGGACGAAACAAGGGTTCGGTTATCCTTGCTTTTGTTTCTTTCGTTCTTTCTTTCGGTAAGCGAGATGATTGTATCATATCGTTCATACCAGTCATTTTCCACCAGTTGTTATCGCTTACTCGCCTCAACAACTTGTGCAGAACGGGCTGGCGGCGCGCCAAATCCAGCCAGCCCCTTCATTCCACCGCGGACAAGGCAGTATTCATGCGCTCCTGACCTCCTCAAAGTATTCCTTTCATCACTTTTGTTCAGGAAGACAGAAGAGAAGTTAAGGACGCCATATTGAAAAAAAAAACGCTCCCGTGACTTCTCTCAGAGGCGCTTCGCAAAGCTTGGAAAGCAGCTTTAGGGGCAGAGGGAGTTTAGCCTCAACCTGCACGCGACAGTATACAGCTAATTGAAATGGCTTGAATGACCTACTGACATTCCCTTGGGAGCATTTCTATAGCCCAGGCATAATGACTGCGTTCGCGCTCCAATCTCCTGATTGCTCCCGGACTATTCCCTCAGCTGATTTTTCCCAAAGATTTTCGAGAGCATAATTTGAGCGGAGAGCTCGGATCGAATATTGCGGTCTAACAAGGGAATGGTTTGAACTTCCCATGGAACTTTGAATGGAGACCTAGGTACATCGATAGAGCCTCGAATGCTGATTACGAATATGCAGATTAAAAGTGCTACGGGGACCTCCCAGACGAGATCTGGGTGGTCAAAGTTTGAGTTCTGGCTCGTAAGCGCTGCTGATCGATGCTTCGGCAGTGCCACCGTGGCCTCGTGGTAATGGTCTCGCTTTCAAGTCAAACGCATGCGGGTTTGCATCCGGTTGGCGCGAAAATTTTTGCTTCGCTCCGTATAAGAGCTTCAACTCTAATTTTCGAAATTCTTCCGAATTACGGCCCAGCAGGGCAAGTAGATCAAGTACATCAAGTATACGACGTACTCGATCTAGTATGGATTTGACTTATCTGCCCTCTCTGAACATA